TGAAAATAAACAGTAAAAAAATACTAAAAAAAAAAATAATGTAGTAAAATATTATTTAAGTGCTGGGCTTTTGGTACGCCCTCAGATGGTGCCCAAGGAAGTGCCTCACCGCCTCACCCTGGCCCTGTTGGGCAAGTGCCTGAAAACAGGTCATCAAAGGGGCCTCGATAATGTTTCAGGTCCCTGTGCCTGGAGGACTCTGGGATAAGCCACCACCACGCACCCAAAGCCTTCACATGCCTTAGGGGGGGTTGGCGGGCACGGTTATCAGCCCCATTTAACAGAGAGGGGAACGGAGGCTTCCGCGAGGCACAGGCCAGGTCAGAAAGTGCAGGGGTGAAAGGTAAGCCCACTCCATCCCTTCACCAAGATTCCCTTGGCCCATCGAGATGCCCGAGCTGTTAAACCAGGGCCCAGGGTAGTCCCGACGTCTACCTTGGTGGGACACTGTCACCATCTCAGGCGTGGTGAACTCAGGGCTGGCCACGGACCACGGGCCGGCTGTGTGCTTTGGCCCCGCGGTTGGGGGGCGCACTGTCGTCCTCACGGCTGTGGAGCGCACCGTTGGCCTGACCGTGACCGTGGAGGTCGCCCGGGGGGTCACGACAGGTTCGGGCTCTGAAAGAAGAAACATCTCCTGAGTGCCCCGCGGCCCAAGTGCCCCTCTGATAACTGTGCTGCTCGTGACCACGGAGAGGAAGTGCGTGCCATTGGCCACAAAGAAATAAAATGTAGTGAAAATTGAAACCTGCTAGTAACGGTGTTGTTATTCCATCATTGGTTGTACTCCAAACGGGAGATTCACGAGTGTTACAGACACAAGGGTGGCGGAAGCAGGACTCGTGCCCAGGCTGGTGCCCCTACCTATGAGGCAGCTCCTCATGTCCTTGGCCAGCAGCATGCCATCCGGGCAGGCACAGGTGAACTTGGGTGAGTGGGGGTTGATCTGTGGGGCCGGGAGACACAGGTACTGGCAGCCACCGTTGCGGAGGGCCGTCCTCTCACACCAGTTCACCCCTGAGGCGGAAGAGGCAGGGAGTCAGGGTGAGAACAAGATTAGAAAATTCTGGAAAGTTCCAGAAATAGCAGGGAAACGGAGTGGGGAGGCAGTCACCCCATCTTTACCTCTTGGCTGTGTGAGGTTGTGAAAAAGGACAATGTCCTCCGGGGACAACAGGTTTTCTGCTAGCAGATTAATGTCTGAGCCGGTGAGGCGGTTGGCACTGAAAATGGCTTCGTTGATGATGTCCGTCCAAAATACTTTATCCTATACGGGCATGAAGAGATGGCAGATCCCATTAACCATGGGCAGAGGGCACACGAATCTCCGGGAAGCAGCAGCACTAGGTGGCACTAGCCTCGTTTAGTTTTTCTTCAAAAAAAAGTTTCGGGGCGCCTGCGTGGCTCAGTCGGTTGAGCGTCTGACTTCGGCTCAGGTCGTGATCTCACGGTCCGTGAGTTCGAGCCCCACGTCGGGCTCTGTGCTGACCGCTCGGAGCCTGGAGCCTGCTTCGGATTCTGGGTCTCCCTCTCTCTCTCTGCCCCTCCCCTGCTCATGCTTTGTCTGCTTCTCTCTCTCTCTTTCAAAAATAAACATTAAAAAATTTT